TACCCAAGGCAGAGCACACGTCTTTGAGCAATTTAGAGAAGTTACGTCCTTGATCCGTGAGCAGCCCTTCAGGTGCTCCCTTATCCATAACGTACCCATTCAAGAAAGCCTCGGTGATGGATGAGGCCATTTGGTCAGGTAGAGGCCAGGCCATAGGCCAGCGAGAAAAGTATTCGACCCCGACCAAAAGGTATTTATATCCCCTAGCCGATGGAGGGAACGGGCCCAGGATATCCAGAGCGACCAGCTCATTAATACGGGACACCTCGATCGATCATAGGGGCGGGACATAATTTTGACGTGGCGGTTTCCGCTTTGCACAATCATTGCATGACCGGATAAAGTTAGTGACATCCGCTGTCATGCCTGGCCAAAAGAAATCCTGCTGCATCGCGGCAAATGTTTTCTGCACGCCAAGGTGCATCAGCTTGTCGGCGTGCAGCGCGCGGATCAGATCATGGCGAAGGGACGTCGGCACAACCAGGCGTGAACGGTCCGACAACCCATCCGTACACATCAGTAATCCCGCCTGGCCCCCAAAACAACTGCCATTTCCATCCCACCAAATGAGATCTCGGTTTCCCGACCAATTTCCACAGTAGAGCCAAAGAGGCATCAGCCTCTTGCTCGCATAGCCACACCAAGTGCGGCAAATGCAACGTATTGTCGGCGCCAACGGGTACATCCTGGCCTTCATCCTTTGACATCGCTCCCATGACCGGACAGGGCGCGGTAGGCAGCGCCGCAACAGTGGTGCATACCCGTCAGACAGGCGCAGAGAGGAGTTACGGGCAACCTAGAGAGAGCGTCCGCGTTTCCATGGCAAGTACCCTTGCGGTACGTGATATTGAAGGAAAACTCCTGCAGAGATTCTAACCACCGAACCAATTGACCGGACGGTTGTTCCAATTTCAAAGAATATTGCAAGGCAGCATGGTCAGTGCGCACAAGGAATTTCCTTCCATACAGGTACAGCCGGTACTGGCGAACAAAATGGACGATTGCCAACAATTCCCGTCGCATCACGTCGTTGGAGGTGTTCTTCGAAGGTGCGACTGAATACGATGATATCGTCCAAATATATGAGGCACGTTTCCCACTGCAGCCCCGCTAGCACCAGTTCCATCAGGCGTTGGAACGTCGCCAGTGCTGCATTCAAGCCCATAGGTAGGTGGTTAAACTCAAAGAGGCCCTGCGGCGTGCGGAACGCCGTTTTCGGTCTGGACGCGTCATCGAGGGGGAGCTGCCAAAACCCAGATGACAGGTCGAGGGTAGAGAAGAAATTTGCCCCCGACAAAGCGTCCAATGAGTCGTCCATCCGTGGCAAGGGGTATGCCTCGGCCACGGATATCTTATTCAATCGGCGGAAGTCTACACAAAACCTCGTTCCGCCATCCTTCTTTTTAACCAACACCACCGGCGCGCCCCAAGGACTGTTGGACGGCGAAATTATATCGGCCGCCAACATGTCGTCCACCGCGCCACGCACGTGTTCCCTTTCTGCCGTGCTCATGCGATGCGGGTGCATACAAATCGGTCCCGCTGCACCGGTGTCGATATGGTGCGACAAGAGCGTGGTATGGCCCAAATCCAAAACGTTTTTACTGAAAACGTCAGCGTACTCCGACATAGTGAATGCAAGGCGCTCCGCTGCGTGGCCGACAAGGACGTATTTTCCCCGCACAATTCTGCGATCCATCGATCGTCCGAACGATCGGATCGTGGCATGCCAGAGGCCATTTTTGTGGGTTGGTCGCTCTCAAAGCTGGTGAAATCGGTAGTGGCGTGAGCCAGCTGGGACGAACGATAGTTTGAGCCGCCACTAGGGAAAAGGATTTTGCCACAGAGTTCGACGGGGACAACAACACACCCGTCGCATCGTCCACGGCTTCCAACCGCTTTCGGTAACGCAGCGGAATAAGCATTTGTGATCCTGATGGTACTGCTACTGTGACAGCAACAATCGCGTTAACAGCATTTCCTGGGGGCGAACGGCCCAGCAGGGACGGCAGGAAGGACATTCTACTGCCCCCTGGCATTTCCAAAGAACCTTGATCGACGATTATTTTAACAGGCATCCGACGAAGGAAATCGGTGCCCAATAAGCATGGGACGGCCAATGAACACCAGATCAAAACTGGTCCCACCGCGGTGATATTCCCTATAGCAATGCACACATTTACTCGCCCCAAAATACCCATGCTACCCCCATTCGCAGCAACGCATGCATCATTAGCTGGTCGGATCCGCGACGTAGGAATGGACAGGAGATGAAAAATAACATCGGAAATGATGGTTGAAGACGCGCCGGTGTCCACCAAAATACGGACATCGATCCCATCGATAGTACCCCGTACCATTGAGGACCCCGACGCGGCTGCCACCACCCTTCGAGCCAATTTTTTCCACTGTGTAACTGAGTGTGGCATCGACCCAGGTGACCCACAATTCCCTTCAGGAGTGCAAACATGGGTGCGAGTGGATGCGTGATGTGTCAAGACCTGCCGGGTGTCTGATATGTGCCGACTTGCCCGAGGGTGCCATGGATCCGCTTCTGGTGGAGGAGATGGAAGTCGGCCCGACGGGAGCTGAGGGGGTTGAAGTCGGCAGCTGCAATCCCAGGCGAAATGGCCTCGTCGGCCACACTTAAAACATGTGGCCGTCGCCGCCCGGCGGTCGGCCGCCCCGGTCCCCGCTCGTGGACGTCCGGCCCCGTCATGCTGGTTGCGCGGCCGGCGTTTCGGGACCCAGCGAGGAATGGCTGCCATCACCTCGTCGTCGCTGAAGTCGTTGGAACCGTGGACGACACGATGTGGGGCCCATCCCAATGGTGGCCCGTCTATTCCAGGATCTCCCGACCATGCAGCCATCTGGTCCCAGCGTTTGAGGTTGAACTTGGCATCCAAACAGCGCACCGCCCATCGAGACGTTAGCGGTTCGTGGCCGCACACCGGTAATGATATATTAAGTTCCTGGGACAACTCAATCATTCTAGAAAGGATGAGAGGATCCAGGAGATCGGCTGACGAATCGGGGTAGGCGGCCATGGCAAGCGCCCCCTCGGTAGGCCAAGGGCGATTCATCCGCTCCTCGGCGCCGTTGCATGAATTTCCTGGTAGCCGCCGTCGGCGGCTCGTAGAACTCCGCCATTTCCGCGAAAGCGTCACGCAGCGTCTTTTTCTTACTCGCCGGGATGGAGCGGAAGACTGCCAAGGAGACATCGTTCAATAGCGTGGGCAGAGCCTCCAGCGCTTCTGCCTCCGTCCATCGCACCGACTGAAAGGCTGACTCGAACCACCACGTGAACGCGCTCCAGTCACCCCCGACGACAAATTCTTTAATTTGAGGAAGGCGATGGCGCGGTAGATATCCGAGGCCTCGGGCATGTCAGATCCCGCTCCCCGCGCAGCACGCGGCTCCGTCAAGATGGCGTCCGGCGGCCGCGTGGCAGCAGCCCTGCCCAAGATGGCGTCCGGCAGCCCCGTGGCAGCAGCCCCGCCCAAGATGGAGGCCACCCCCTTCGCGGCAGGAGTAATGGCGGACGGCGTTTCCCGCTGAAGATCTTGGTCATCGGCCCTTGGGTGAGATCCACGCGGCCGACCGAGGTCCGCTGATGACGCGACCGCCGTTGCAAGATTTAGCAGGATCGCACGGAGCGACTCTATCTGCTCCGCCACCCGACGCCACCCCTCATCCGCAGCCGGAGACGTCGCCTCGCCGGCCTGTCGTCGATGCGCGGCATCGGGGAGAGCGGCAGACGGCGGTAGAGGACCCGTGGCTCCCAGCAGCTCGTCCTCGTCCGCCTCGACATCTTCATTCGACGGAGGATCCGGTGGGTTTCTTTTCTTGAGGTGCTTGGGCATTTTCTAATAATTGTCCAAACGGTCTCAAGAAGCACTTCTGTCACCAATGTAATAAAGGTCGTAATAATTGTATTATTAAATTAGTGAACATAAAGAGCTGATCAAATTCCCGAATGTGTGGGGCGCCAAGGTGGCTTGGGGATGTTATCTCCATTAACTTGCATACAGGAGGTCGTGGGTTCTATCCCGACCCTGACGATGCCTGCTGTATATTTGGAGTATGTGTGTCTCTATCTTTCCCCGTGGTCGCCTGGACTTTTCCCTCCACATTTAGAATCAGCATCACGCATTTAGGTAAGGCCTACTGAGCTATTCAGCGCTTTTTAAGAAGCGACCTGGCCACAAATGATAGCTCCACGAAATCGCTTATCACGTGGAAATTTATATCAGCAGACAAGCACTCTAAACATGTGACGTTGTTTCTAAATGTGGAGGGAAAAACCGGGGGACCGGAGACAAATCCACACGCCACCCAAAGACACATGACACCACCGTTTGAGGGAAATGCACACACGTGACGCCATGCTCGTGCCATAACTCACAGTGACGTCATATTTCAACAGATTTGAATCAATGTTTTTCTTCGGATCGTACAACATTTCAAATCCCTCCTTTCTACATCGCTACTCGTTTGTACGATTTCGGCTGGGAGGGGTGTGAGAAAATACCCTCGGCTCTCTCTTTCCTGAACGTGACCAATCCACAAATTAATCACAAAAAATTAAATATGCAGGCATCTTTGACCAATAATTATTTAATCTGGACAAATATAAATTTTGTTATATTTTGAGATTTGGTGACGATACATTGAGTACCACTTTGTGGGCGAATCGCCAGTGGTTATCTTATAAAATAGACTCGTTTCCGTCATGCTGTGGAATTTCCACTGCCGTTTCCGGCCTGTAAACATGGGACGAGCCCCAATACCTCAATGTTCGTGCATTTCCGATGACAGGGGTGAAGGAAAATGTATGTACAGCAGAGAGAGAGAGCAAAAGCAATTAAGGTAGCCACAGTGAATTGCTTGACCACATGCGATAAAAAAAATAGAAGCAATAGTATTGCGCAAGAGTTGCACCAGTAACTCCATTAAGTTTAATTTCTATTAATTTCGACGCCGTGTTGATGGCTTCTTACCAGTAGTGCTGGGTGAAGTAATCCAAAGACGTCCAGTTGCGGTTCCTCTCGAGCCGGTGGTGTTGATAACACATGAGTAATTTCCACCGTGTGCTCGTGTAACGTTATAGAGTGTCAGATAGCTGGAGCCATCCCTAAGGTCCAAGTGTCCATCGTACATCACGTAGCCCAGTTGTTGCACACCGCTCGAGACTTGTGAGTCCTTGAATTGTGCATTCTAAATTAACAGAACACATGCGCATTAATAATCCATTTGCATCGCAAAATTATCTTTACAGGAATATAGTTCATCTAAATCCCTCTAAGAGGGTTACTGGGCTTCAGCATTCCACAATTAAAACAGATTTTTGTAGGTATTGAGTTCGATGTCTTAGCATGGTTTCCCTTGACTTTTTTTTATTCAGGCAAGCCCAGATATGAGTTTCGGAAGTGGATATATCAGAATAAGCATCTACGGGAGGAATCCGATGAGCTATGAAGTTATTTTTCCCAGGTGTTCAGTTTGGGCGGGTCAGCAAGCTACAACAACAAACACAATACGCAAAACACAATTAGAGTGCAAAATAGAGAGTAAGGTAAGCAAGTCACTAATCCAAGGCGGCACTAGATGCTGTATGGATTGCAGCGATACCATCATGGTGTGCGTTGATGACGCACTCGTCCGTGATGCGTTTCATTGTTTGGGCTTCACCACAGTCGCAGTTTGGTGACTCTTTGATTTTCCTTTCATGGAACAACGCGTATGCCACACATCTCCTGCGCCGGGCCCGAGCGCGGTTCAACGTGATTTACAGTCATCGAGAAAGATAATCCCAGTACTTCCACGGTTGGGTCCTCAATGATGTTTTTGTTTGTCACGTTCATAGCCACCTATCCGGTGTCTTTATATTCGGTTGCCAGAGAGTCGGTGGGTATCCAGAATGGCTTCCTAGATTTAAGCCTAGGGCGTGGGGGGTACCTTTATGTCTTGGTGGGCGAAGTTTTCCACGATCTTGTTGCACTCCCTGAATCGTTGCGGCATCATGGTGGATGTTGGCTGGAGTGATGTCTACCAGCACGGAAAGCCACGATAGTGGAGTGGACTTGAAGGTGCCGCTAATGATATGAAGTGCAGTGTTGATATCAAGATCGACGAGGTTTGTGTGAGGACTGGCACCCCAAACTGCAACACAATACTCTGCTGGAGAGTGGACTGGGGTCTGCATTGATATCTTCAACGTGCGAGGCGTAGCTTCCCCACGTTGTTTCCGCGAGTTTCTGGAAACCATTTGCTCATGTTTTTGTTTTCATTTTGGTTTGTTCAAGGTGGTGCTCATATCTTGATTTGAAGCTTTCGTGACTGCAGGAATCCATACTGCTGGATTATACTTTTTTCCACCGTAGGACGACCGCTTGTGTTGCGATTGAAACGTCGTGATTTATTTTATTTTATACCTACGTGACTTTACCGAAAGAACCAAAGAGTGTGGTGCTCATAGTTGAACGTCCGATCTAGGGTACCTGGGGTGGTGGTTGTGTGTTAGTGTTTTATGCAGAAATTGATATTTAATGTTTTCGTGGCTTGCCTGTTATTCAGATGGAAGACGGAGACGACCCTCTTGTAAGCATTTGGTTTTAGGCGCCAATTTGTGAAGTGTGCTACGAAGATCTTGATATCTTTTTAGATAACTTTTCCAGTGTCCTCTATTGCCCGGGCTTGGGTTGCAAATGCGATGTCGTCCACGTATGTGAACTTACGGGAGGATGTCGCTTGGATCTCGTCGGTGTAGAGATTGAACCGCACTGGTGCAAGAACAGATTCCCACAGTAGTCCATTGTTCAAATTTAGTGGGCTGCTGGCAGCCTCACAAAGGTGAATGGTGAAACATCGCTCGCTCAGTATTTCAGTGATGAGTCTGATAGTTGGGTGGCAAGGCACAGCTGTCGCGAGCTTCAGCACGAGACCCTTCCACCACACCATATCATACGCCGAGGTGAGGTTGATGAATGCTGCTCCTGTTTTGAGCTAGTGCTCAAAACCGGTCTGAATGTAACATTTTAAAGCTAGCACCTGGGCGCAGCAATTTTTGCCAGTTCGGAATCCGGCTTGTTCTTTCGGAACTATGTTGTTAAGCATAGGATTTATTCTTTGGAACAGGAGCTGCTCCATTGGCTTGTAACCGACGCGGAGGGGGGAGATATGGTGGTAGTTTGTGATCTCTGATGCATCCTTGCTGAGCTTAAGAATGGCTATGATCTTAGCCACGTTCAAGTGAAGGAATCACTCCAACAAATTCGTCCATGGCCATGATGTAATTTGGCCATGCAGGGTGGATCAGTGAGATCTGAAGGCCAATATTGAACAATACAGCAGCCTAAGTTCGCTATTTGTAAAGTTTCGATTTAAAGCTTTCGTGACTGCAGGGATTCATCTTCTTGGTTCTTTCGGTAAAGTCACGTAGAAGGGAAGTAATAAAATAATAAAAATAAAACATAATAAAATTATTCTCACGACGTTTCGGCCACAACGCAAGCAGCCGTCCTCAGGTGAAAACCAGGTCCGTCGAGGCGACAGTCTGAATGAAACAGCACACGAGCTTGGAGCATATATATAAGCTGGGCGCCTTGACAAAGGAATTTGCATATCAAGAGGAATTTAGCATATTGATGGGAAATGCAGGAATGTGATTAGTACTACATATGCATGTGCATTATGCAGGATTAACAGCATCAAAGGGAGCTGCAGTTGCTGCTGCTGCAGTTGCTGCTGCTGCAGTTGCTGCTGCTGCAGTTGCTGCTGCTGCAGTTGCTGCTGCTGCAGCTGCTGCAGTTTCTGCTGCTGCTGCAGTTTCTGCTGCTGCTGCAGTTGCTGCTGCTGTTGCAGTTGCTGCCTTATCCATTTTAATATAACACTATGTATTATTCTACCCACCCTAATGTGTATCACACTGCTATATATTTACTATACAATTACGACACCATACATTACTCTGCACACTGCACCATGCCAGTGAGTGGAACGCGGTCTGAAAGTCACCGTAAACGTGAACACAATCAGTTAAGATCCGAAATGGTTTATTACGTCCTTCCAATGATTGCTAAGCCAGAATCCATCTTCTCGGTTGAAATTGTCTCTGTGTTTGTATATGTGGATCGCCTCATGAACGAATCTCTCATGATAGCCAGATGGCTTGCAGAGAACCTCTGTCTTGGAGAAGTCAATGTCATGTGAGCCCACTGAATTGTAACAGTGATCTGCCACGGCTGAGGTGTTTGTCCTACCGTGTTTCAGGTCTGCTTTATGTTCACGGATGCGGTCCGAGACATGTCGTTTGGTTTCTCCAATGTAACTGCTACCACAGAGGCAACTTAGTTTGTAGACGCCAGGGTACTGTATGTCTGGAACCACATCTTTTACAGACGGGACCAGATCACGGATTTTATGTACTGTGTTGAATCGGACCTGGATCTTGTGTTTAATCAGGATTTTGGATATCTTTTTTGTGACCCCAGCAATGTAGGGTAAGGTTATGGTCTTGAAAGGCTCCTCAACAGGATCCTTCTTGATGGTTGGAGTGATGGCCTTGCGGATTGTGTAGTCGGAGTAACCATTAGCCTTAAGAGCTTGGCGTACGTGTTTGAGTTCACTGCCAATGTGTTCCAGGCGTACATGTTTGATTTCACTGCCAATGTGTTCCTGGAACACGTTTACGGTGACTTTCAGACCGCGTTCCACTCACTGGCATGGTGCAGTGTGCAGAGTAATGTATGGTGTCGTAATTGTATAGTAAATATATAGCAGTGTGATACACATTAGGGTGGGTAGAATAATACATAGTGTTATATTAAAATGGATAAGGCAGCAACTGCAACAGCAGCAGCAACTGCAGCAGCAGCAGAAACTGCAGCAGCAGCAGAAACTGCAGCAGCAGCAGCAGAAACTGCAGCAGCAGCAACTGCAGCAGCAGCAGAAACTGCAGCAGCAGCAGAAACTGCAGCAGCAGCAACTGCAGCAGCAGCAACTGCAGCAGCAGCAACTGCAGCAGCAGCAACTGCAGCAGCAGCAACTGCAGCAGCAGCAACTGCAGCAGCAGCAACTGCAGCAGCAGCAACTGCAGCTCCCTTTGATGCACATGCATATGTAGTACTAATCACATTCCTGCATTTGCCATAAATATGCTAAATTCTTATTGATATGCAAATTCATTTGTCAAGGCGCCCATCTTATATATATGCTCCAAGCTCGTGTGCTGTTTCATTCAGACTCTGTCGCCTCGACGGACCTGGTTTTCACCTGAGGACGGCTGCTTGCGTTGTGGCCGAAACGTCGTGAGAATCATTTTATTATGTTTTATTTTTATTATTTTATTACTTCCCTTCTACGTGACTTTACCGAAAGAACCAAGAAGAAGATTTGTAAAGTTGTCAGAGGTGGTTCTTTTTCCCAGCATAGCATTACCATTATGATCCCGCGACACAAAACATGGATCAGGCATGTAAAAAAAAATCCTAGTGTGCTGACTTGAACGTGCCACGGTCTTTTGCGTCACAGAGCAGGTGGTGGCCTTCTGGTGCTGTCCATGATGTTAGTTGCTCACCTGCTTTATCATTGGCGCTGTAGACCCATAATGTTCGGTGGCTATTTAAGTCGCTTACGTCAACGGTCGGGTAACTTGGTGGTGGTGGTGTCGGACATGGCCATTCAAAACCTGGAGGCTTTTAGATGTTAACCACAGTTATGTCATTGATTTTGATGGTGATGTAGTAGGACGAGTTGTTGGATGTGACCTGGGCCAAGTCCTTCAGGTTTTTACGGACATGACAAGGCCTTGTTTCGGATAGTGGCTTGGAGTCTTGTGGGCATATTAACTTATCTTCAAACGGGACACTCTTGATCCAGATAGGTTTTTTTTTGCCAGCATCAGGATGTCGATGTACTGGATCATGAGAATCTTTGCGATATAATCGCATTTCGCACTAGAAAGGTCCTCAAAGTTCAGCTGCATGATTCTCATCGATGGGCCGATATTTACATTACTTTGCTGATGAAAAGGACCATTTCTAAAGCAGCTTTTGAATCCGGGATGCCGTGTGAGGCAATTTTCGTTGTGCTTTTGCATGTGGCAGGGAAGACCGTGAGTAAGTTGTCATCTTTTTGTCAAGTACAAAAGACCACTGGTGGTAAATTGTGGGTAATAAATGCATTCGCAGACAGAGGTGTGGTCACAATCTGCTGAT